TGTACTCGGCTTTGGTGAGGCCACAGCTGGAGTACTGCATCTAGTTTTGGGCTCCACAATTCAAAAAGGATGTGGAGAAGTTTGAGAGGGTGCAGAGGAGAGCCATACGCATGATCAGACGTCAAGAAAACTGACCTTATGATGAGAGACTGAGAGCAATCGGGCTATTCAGCCTGGAAAAGCGCAGGCTCAGGCGTGATCTGGTGGCCACCTATAAGCTTATTAGGGGTGTTCATCAGGATCTGGGGGAACGACTGTTCACCAGAGCCAACCAAGGGATGACAAGATCAAACGGTCATGAACTCCACTGTGACCGTTTCAGGCTGGACATAAGGAAGAACTTCTTTACTGTCTGGGCCCCCAAGGTTTGGAACAGACTGCCGCCGAAGGTGGTTCAAGCGCCCACTTTGAACGCCTTCAAAAGACATTTGGATGTTTATCTTGCTGGGATCCTATGATCCCTGCTGACTTCCTGCCCCTGGGGCAGGGGACTGGACTAGATGATCCTCCAGGGTCCCCTCCAGCCCAAATGTCTATGAAATCTAGAATACTCTCCCATCCTAGTATCAACTTACAAAATGATATATATGATAAAAATTAAGAATCCCGTATGCCTACCATACTTTAGCTACTTCATTAATGTACAAGGATAAGGAAATGTATACACAGAAGAATAATAACTATGCAGATATGTTGCCTAGAGGTGTTTTATGAAGCTTTGAGGATGGAAACTAAAAGCAATTTTCATGGCCAATGAGAGTTTGAATTGAAGAAGAAAACTATGGTAGTATGTTCTAATTCCTTTTCAGATGTCCCTTCCCTTTTTCCCTACCAGTATTGGTAGAAGCTGTTGCTTGGTATAACCAACTGTCTACACCCCTGCTTCCAATTCCAGGTTGGTCACTTTTCTTCTTTTAGATACCTATTTCTACATTACCTACAGCTGTGGTTCTCAGCCTTTTTCAACCTGCAGCACCCCTCACTGGATTTGAGGCACCCCTTCATAGCTTCTGTGAACTGAGTGGCACCCAATTTCAAAAACTATACACACACAATATGCAAGGAGGGCTGTATAGTATAATAATTACTATATAAATAGTACTTATATATTTATAGCCACTCCTTGCAGATGGCCTAGGAAGTGGGGATAGGCGATTGGCCAGGCAGGGACAAGCCTGACCCTTCACTCATCTGCTTATCTCCTCACACCTCAAGGTACCTTTCAAAGGATATGGCAGCATCCTAGGATCCCTCAGTACCCTAGTCGAAAAATTGCTGGCTTAGGGTGAAATAAGAATTTTCCAATGAAAGGACAAAAAGATATTATAATTGGTTAAAAAATAAACCTGCAGAGAAATTAATTCTTTGCAGCTTTTTTTTTAAATGTATACAGAAAGCATTACAAGAAGAGCTACACTGCACCTACACAAATCTTATTTTTAGATAGTATGTTGCTCAAGTGAGCAAATAAGAGCTTAATTGTTTGCTAATGCTAAAGTCTTAGACTTCAGATAAATAGCTTGACTTTTCAAAACATATTCAATTTGAACTATATATAAATATAAATAGCCACTTCAGTGTCACAGAGACGCTACCATTATGACTGCCCACTGCTGACACTTGAAAGGAAACAACTTGTGGCAAAAAGCACATATTCCTGAGGCAACTGAAGTGTGTCCCTCAAATCTCTTGCTGCCCATCTTATCTGATGCATGTAGGAGGACTCTTGGTGAGATAGGGCCTGATCCTGTACCATTAAAGTCGATGTGAATTTTGAAATGGACCTCAATAGGAGTGGGTTCAGGACAATTATTTCCAAATATTAGAGTACTGCTAGGTGGACGATGCATAACTGTGCATCTCTTGCCCTGCAGAAGCTGATACCTTGGCGAGTATCTTGGAAGACTTGCCCACATGATACAGCTCACAAAAGGCACAGGAGCTGCCCCAGTCCTTAAATGAAGACAAATCCTGGTAGATCAAGATCATGAGAGTTTTTGTATGAGGGTTTTTTTTCTGTTTCTTAATATTTCTAGCTACTGAGGAGCATTTTTCTGAGTAGGCATTCTTTTAGACTACTAGCATTTTTTCAGCCACCCTTTTTAGATCAAATGTCACATATTGCAAATATCCGATATATAGTACATGCAGTATGCACTTCCCCACTTTTTTTGCAACTGATAGTACAGAATCTGTATTGAATAAGTCTACCCAGAATATAGACATAAGTATGGCAGATCTAGAATTTTTAAAAGGGGGTGCACATGGTGAGGTAAATCAAATATGAAACAAGACATTTTTTTCTGTTAAAAATAAACCAGAAAATTTACAAATATGTTAGGGGCTTAGGCCTGTATCATTCAGTTTAAGAGTGAAGTAAAAACCAATGTAACTTGACTGGATTGAGTTAGAAACCATCTGCAGGGCTGTGAAATAGGAACTTCATTACCAGGAGCAGCTAACAGGCAGCAGAATTGCAAAACAAAAGATAGCTTGACTGGTGAAACATCAAGATCATTAAAAAGAAGACAGTCATTAACAGGGATCACGTACACTATAATAAGCCATGAAGTCAGTTGACTCCCTCAGCACTGTCCGACTAGAAATGCTGCTGTCACTGCCAGCACCCCCTACCCCACCGGATGCACTCTTGCAAGATTTGTGTGCACCTCCCCTCACCCTGGATCTGCCTCTGTACAAAAGGTTTTATTCCTGCCACGCCTATTGTCTCTGAGGCAGACAAAAACAATTTAAATTTTAACTTTACAAACAAGTAGATAATCTAAGGTTTCCATTATTTTCTTAGAAGACTTTTAATGCCTTTGCTATACAATCCAATAGTCAAATTTAGAAAATGCAGACTCTAGATATGTTCTGAAATTCTCATTACCAGACAAAATGAAACATTTTGCAACATTCTACAAATCAAAATGAGATATTATGCGAAAAAAAACTGTGTTGAAAAAATACATAGATCTCTTACTCTTGTTGGACATGGCTGAGCTGCAAACGTGTGGAGTTCAGTTCTTTCTCCAGCTCTTGCAATTCATAGTTCTTTGTGCTGGCAAATTCTCTCAGCTGCCTTTCTTTCTCAACTGAATCCTAGAACAAAATACAGATATCACACTCTTGGAATACTGTGCCTTCAAGTTATAAAGCATTCCCTTGGCATTTATGAAAATCTGTGGGTTTCTCAAATGTAGCAATAAAGAATATTTCTGAAACAGTGATTCACCACAAAAATGGCAAACAATGTGATAAAGCAGCTGCTGGTTCAAACAGCAATTTCTTTGTTGTGCAGAGACAAATTTAACATGTGGTCAGGTCTTAGACCCTCCACTATCCCACAGTGCTCTGCTCTCCTTTTCTCCCTCACAACAATGAGCTGCCATACACACATTGTCCACTGAATAGGTGGACAGCAACAGGGACAAGGCAGCTTGCAGTGGTGGCAGGGGGCGTAACTAGGAAACAGAAACACCCCAGTCAGCTGTTTCCCAGTCCTGAGCTGCTCATACACCTTTAAAATTCTGGGAGAAGAGGCAAGGGGTCAGGGGGAGCCAAGGAGCAGCCCCCTATCACCCTCTGACCAGAGAGCATGAATTTGTTTGGCTCCAGCCAGGGGGGCTTTTAACTAATGGCTGCCCATAACACTTTGTTTTCTGTAATGCTACAAATTTTGTAGCACTACATAAATAACATCTAGCAGAGGCCACAGAGAGCACAAGACAGAAAGAGAGAGAAATTAAATTACATCAGCAAAAAGTTATGCATTTGGGGTGCTTCTCATTTTCTTTGCCGTTTCATTAGAAGACATGCATTGTAAATAGGCGCACAAACCCATATCAAACTTTGGTCCACAATTTTTCTTTATAAACTCTTAGGTCAAAATGTTCCAACAATTAATTTTGAGCTTTTTTAATTTATGAATTTATTTTTCATACATTATTGTATAGGTGAAACAGAAAAAAAAGGCAAGAGGTTTTTTAATTTTATAAACCTATTACAATTGAAAAGAATGTTTTTGTACATGTAACTGTCTGAGGACCTCTGCTTGGTCCAATACAGTTCTAAATAGACTAGTAGTTGTGTAATGGTCTTTAATTCTCTTTTTAAAAGTGCTCATTTGGAGTGCAAATGCAATTGAAAAAACTATTGTTAACACCCAGATTCTTTCTATCATCATTTTCAATTTAACCATCAAGAGAGCTTAATAAAATGTATCCTAGCTCCTAAGGATGTGATGTTTCACTTATTTGGGAGAGATATTCCCTTTAAATTTTAAAATAATAAACTAATAACATTTTAAAATAAAATAAAAAGTCAGGAGGATTAAGCAGACCCTGAAGTACCAGTCTTCAACATTGTATTTTCTCACATATAGTGCATCCCAGGATAAGACAAGCACCTTGGCCACTGACAGACATGGAAGCAAACAAACAAAATCCAGTGCTTTACCAGAAGAGGAAGCACATCAGTCTGACCTGGCTCCCTAGCATCTGTATAGATCTTACACTTCAGCAGGGCTTTTGGGCACTTTTATCTAATAGCTGATCAATCAGCTATAGCTAAAAGTACCAAAAAGCCCCGTTGAATCGTGCAATCTGTATAGACATTGGGTGAGCCAGGTCAGACTTGACACACTTTCTCTTCTGGGTATGTGCTGTGCTTGGCATGGGGGCATGCCAAGATGAAAGTAAAGCGCTGGATTTTGGTGGGGTGGGGTTCACATCTGTAAGCAGCCCTTACAGGCAGAATGGCAGATCTTACAACCCTGAAAGGCAGAATGAATTAAAAAGATCTTTCCTGGGAGTAAGCACTCAAGTAATAGCACCTAGGGAGCTGAAACTGCTCATTGTTCTTCTCCTTGTGGAGTATGCAGAATTTACTTTCACTTCTGTCTGGTAAATGGCAGAAACTGCTCTTATCATATTTTCTCCCATATAATGTATACCTAAATTTCCAGCAGCTGGTTTTTGAAAAAAGGTGTGCACTATATGTGAGAAAATATGGTACTTTTCCCTAAAACTGACCATCAGCTAATATAATTCTTTTCTTCCAGAGGATCTGCCTCTCCAGTAGAACTGTCATTAATGCCATTTCTTCTTTAACTTCTGCTGCACAATACATTAAATTTAAGGAAATATACATCATTGTTATCCTTGCCTTTAATGCTAGGATTACTATAGTAGTATGAGTTATATTAATTGCTATTAAAAACAAAAAAACTCATACAAATAATGTAAAAAATATAAATGCCAAGCAAACTTCATTTTTCATAGGAGACAAAGAAATCACGACTGAATGGCATGACATTTTGATGGCCACTCCTCTTTCAACCCCTCCGCAGTTCCTACAAAAATGCAAGATTAGAACTAACATATATATCTTAACCTTGATATATACATTTTCAAAAACAGCCCATTTCTTCAACAAGACAAAATACTCCATTAAAAAAACCAAAAAAACCAAAAAACACTTTTCTTTGTGAAACAGCATAAGCCCTGGTTTGCCAGTCTGGTTCAATTAACTTCAATGACTTTTTCCACTTATCTCTTAAAGCTACTATAAAAATTACCTAATTGTTTTAACTGTCACAAGGCAAACTGTGAGAGTGTTAGACAATTATTAAAAGAGATTCTTTCTTAATTGTAGGAAAGCTTTTAATCAATGTCATTCTATTCCCTTAAAAATGTGCATACCTGAATGAGAGAGAGATTGGTTTCAAAGGGCCTTCCTGAAGCAGCACTGGAAAAACAAGTTCCAAGCCATGGCAAAAGACGAGATTTTATTGTTTCTACACCTGCATAATGCCCACCTAAGATAATACATAAAACAGAAATACGTGAGAAAAATGCATAAATAAATCCTTAGCCAGCAATAAAAAAAAACAATGGAGTTGTATGAACTAATGACTGGGGCCAAAAACAAAAACACTCTCACCTTCTCGGGCTGTTTGATTGAGGATGGTGAAGAGTTGCCCCTGTATCATGGAGTTTATTTCTATGATTTCACAACATCGGTTCAGATTCTGATCACAAGAGTTAATCTGTAAAGAAGCAGCATTCAAATATTTGAGATATTTGGTATTTACCTCTCTAAATAATTCTGGTTATGGTGTACATTGAACATGACATCAGAAGTTTTTCTCAGATTATGTCTGCAGTTGGTTTTTTTTAATGTTCAATATACCATAGCTGGATATTCACATGCTCTCAATATTGAGAAAAGCATGTAATGATAATAGTTAGATCAGAAGGTTTGGAGTCAGACTTCCAAGTTCTGTTCTCTATCGAGGACTTGGCAGATGGAAACAACTTACATGACTGTCTTAGCTTCTCCTATACATAAAGTAGGTATAATAAGATTTACATCTCATAGAAATGCCATGAAAATTTACCACCTTTTAAAAACATTAAATAGGCCATTAAATCATTAGATATAATGCCCTATACACATGCCAAGTATGACTCTACATGTTACATGGAATACACTGAACAGATTATTTTGTTGTTTTTCAACAGTGGCTTTCATGTGATTTCATGCAGCTTTTAATTATGTACCAGAACACAATTTGACCAACAGAAGCTAGCATTATGTCCTTAACACAAAAAGCATTAAAAAAAAATATAGAAATCAGTCAGCTAGCTCAGAGATTTGAATGCATGCCTCAAATGAAACTGAAATCTTTCCAGGACACTACTGTTGTTACTAAAACTGTAGTGAAGAGCTCTACGCTACTACCTCATTGTTCCATCACTTGATACTTCCCGCATGTCACTCAATCACATGACCCAAACACCATCTTCAACTCAAACCTTTGTCTTCATCTTCAGCAATATCTAAAACTTGTAGACTCTTTGGCCACATTCAGATGAGCGCGACCATTCAGCATGTAATGCTGCAGACACATCTGCTGCACTACATACTGCATGTTCAGCTGTTTTCTGTGCCACAAGGAAGCAGTATGGGGGGGAGGGGGAAAGTGACCCCTGGATATCCAGGGATCAAAAAAAAAAACCACATGCAAAAAAGGTGGAGTGGCACATGTGGGGGCAGTGCACTGCAGCTGCCAGCCAGGCTCCAAATGACAGAATTGCCCCTGCTGCAGCCCTGGGAGGCCCCCAGTATCCTAGGCAAGGCTGCTGGGGCCAGTCTAGTGCTGGCCCCAGCCTCTCCTATCCCACCCAGGGTAATCTGCCATGTGCCAGAGCATGCATGGCATGGGCATTCCCCAGAAACAACTAGCAGTGAGAGACAAGGTGCACTGCCATTTGTCCCCAAGGAACCAAACATCCACACTCATCCAGACATGGCGTTTCATAGTATCATAGGGTTGGATAAAACCTCAAGGGTCATCTAATACGACTCCCACTCAAATGCCAGATGCAACATTCCTAAACCATCTCAGAAAAATACTTATAAAGCCTACTCTTGAAAATCGCCTATAAAAGAGATTTTAAACAAGGTTCCTGGATAGTTTGTGCCATTGTCCTATGGTTCCTAAAGTTCAGAATTCCTGTGTGTGAACCTAAAACCACTCTGCTACAGGTTCATGCCCTTACCTCTGTAGAAAAAAAGATAAATTTTCTCCCTCTTCTTTGTGGCAACCTTTCAAATATTTGAAAATTGCTATCATAACCCTTTTATTCTCCTTTTCTCTAAACTAAACATACCATAGTTGCTTTCTAACATCTCAAAGACACAGCCTTCCCTTTCCATCCACATAGCTAAAACCCCTATGATTATGACCCTACATCAGTAGTTCTCAACTAGGGTGCCACAGCACCCTGGGGTACTCTAAGATTCTTTTAAGGGTGTTGTGCAATATTAGCACTGTTAAGTGTAAAATCATCTATGCATGATTCACAAGATGAACCTAGAGCAGGGGCAGGCAATTATTTTGGGCGAAGGGCTGCTTACCGAGTTTTGGCAAACTGTTGAGGGCCGCATTTCCCTTTCCGGCACAGGGAAACAGGAACAGCCCCATGGTCCCAGGCCAGAAGCCTCTGCTAGGCAGGGGTTTCTGGTTGGGGGGCAAGGGCTGGGTAGACCTTGCTGCTGGGTCCTGCCACTAGCTTCCTCTGGGTCCTACTGCCCCTGACACCTGTCATCTTTGATAGGCACTTAGGAGCAAATAAATATTAATTTTCTAATTTTTTAGGGGCCCCGTGGGCTGGATAGAATGGTCTGGTGGGCCAGATCCGGCCCCCAGGCCCTATTTTGCCCATCCCTGACCTACAGATTTCTAATAGGAATCTATAGTGTCAAAAACATTCTGACCTACTGTGGGCTTTCTGAGTTCTTTGCAACAAAAGAATTGCTCTCTCATTTTTCCGTTGTCAAAAAATGAGCAAGAGGGAAGAGCTGGCATTTAAGGGGTGTCTTGAGTCTAATGAAGTTGAGAACCACTGCCCTACATCTTGATTACTACAACTTCCTTTTTGCTGGCTATGCCACATACAGTCTTGCCCTGCTCATATCCATCCAGAAAACTGTTGCAAAAATAATTTTTCTATCTTGTTCCTTTGATCATCCCTCTCTCTATGTTGGCTCCCTCTTTTGGTTCCCTGTTCTTTATAACCTCAAACACAAGTTGTTTGTCTTCACTTTCAAAGCACTGCACAGCCTGTCCTCAGTTGGCCTCTTATGACAGCCTCCTTAGTCCACCTGTTAAGATTTTCAAACACTTTCTCCTTTGCCATGATGGAAATGGAAAAACTTAACAATGTTAAATTAGTGATATACTATGACTACTAACTACCATGCTGACCTACACAGCCTCATTGTTTCCTTGTATTCCTCCATCTGTCTGCATCTAAATGCTGACTCTTGTCTCATTATTATATTGTAAGTTTCTGAGATAGGTACCGCCTTTTTTGTTCTGTGTTTATAATATAACATGACTATGTCCATCAATTCTTTAGTTCAAATTTTGCATCTGCATAACAGTTGGAAGGAGCTAGGAGACTAGGGTAGGATTATTATGAGGTGAAAATAAAAGTTGGATACCAATCAGCTGAATTAATTAACAAGAACGTTTACATGGACTTTATGGTCTTCTTACTTTTAAAAGACCTTTCAAAAAATCATTCCATTTTTGCTGTCAGAGAGCTCAAGAACTTTCCACTTCTGGGTGCACTGTAGCCAGCTACTATGTGCAAGATGCGGACTGGGATACCAGAAAGCTAGTTGCTGACAGCAAAGCCACCTTTGAAGGGGAGCCTCTCTGCCTCTCTCTTCCCTCTCTTTGAGGAGGGACCCTTTCCTTTTGTAAGGAGGCCCCTACACACTCCTAAATAAGGTGTCCATTATATAGGGCAGATCCTGAGCTTTCTTTATTCTTCCAAGAATTTCCTTCGGGGAAGAAAATCTAGCAAAACTTCCTCTATTATTCCACCCAACTCTTGGTTCTGATGGACTAGTACATGATTCAGAAGACTGTGGCCATCTAATGATAAAACTTTGATCCAAATATATTCCAGTTTTATCTGAAGTTTCTGACTACAGTACCATAAATTTGTCCAGCCAGGCTCTTGTCAAGAGGGTAGATAACACAGTTAATGGAAACTCCGGGAATATCTACTGTTCCCTTAGCCTTGCACAACCACCCTAGCCTCGTAAAAGTGGTCTACCACACCTTTATCAGAAAGGGAATACAAAGAAATGGAAACATTGTTGGATAGTGTTCCTTGTCCTAAGAATCTCTTAATTGTAAGCTACATTTCTGAACTGTTTTTAACTGTCTTTAAAAGTTTCTGTAATAACTGAAGAAAAGTAAGATCCTATCTTCTTCAAAATCATTGCCTGGTATTTCTAATAGTGGAGCTGTAATTAGTATCAGAAGAGTCCTCTGAATCCAATAACTGCTTCTTCCCAAAGTACAAGGAACTATAGGTAAAAGAGAAGTGAGAGGGAAAATAAAATAGAGAAAGGAAAATAGAAAAGGAATACAAACAGAAAAGAACAAAGAAGAGGGCGCTGCTGAGAGACAAATCTCAGAAAAAACAACTACTGAAGCAGGAGCTAAAGCACTACAGATAAGTATCAAAGTGCTCAAATGAGCACTTTGATAAAATATATAGTACAGATTCAACAGTCCCAAATGCAGGTCAGGGAAATGATAGTTAAAGATATCCAGATACAGTTGCTGGAATTTTGAAGACACAGGAGCAATGGCAGTCTTCTGTAGGGAGGATCTTTTGTGTCCAAGGCCAAAAAATAACTAGCTGTGTTCAAAGGCCTGAATGTACATTCAGTTGGTGGCATGTGATGATGCTTAGGGGGGTCTGGCTTGTGATCCACTCCACTGTCACTGCCCTGAAGGGCTAAACAAATCTTAATTAGCTCAGGGAGTTCCTCCAGTCCCTGTTCTTACTGAAACCTGTCTCTCCTTCTGAAATTCCCTCTGCAGCTATGCTCTCTTGTGTTACTCTGTCTGTTACTAAATTATCTTCCTCAGAAAGATCCCAGAAAGGTGGCTGGAGATTCTGCTCTCACTTTTCTCCCACCTGTAACTCTTCCTCCCTCTTCATTAATTTTCTTCAGACTGCCATCTTCAGGCTGCTCTCCATCCTTGGAGGTTTTTAAGACCCAGGTAGACAAAGCCTTGGCTAGAATGATCTAGCTGGGGGTGGTTCTGCTTTGAGCAGGGGGTTGGAATAGATGACCTCCTGAGGTCCCCCCCAACCTTACAATTCTATGATTTCAAACAAAAAGTGCTCCGCTTTAAATTGTCTGATTTTTGTGCCCTTTCACTGCATTGTTCCATATTTTAGGTTATTTATTTTAATTTAATAAAAGAAAATATGAATGCTTTAACCAGAGTTTAATCAATCCTATCCCCACGGCTATTTCAATCAACTATATTCATTTAAAATAGTCATCTTTCAAAACCTATGGAAGAGTAATACCTTCATACTTGTAAATAATATTAAAAATGTTAAACCCCCTCTAAGTTACTTCATTCTCACCTAACCAAGGTAAGCAGAGCCCTAAACAGACAATAATAAAAATACAGTGCATACTATTGAAAATTAACAAATAAAA